GGGGGGAAGAGGCGTCCCCGACAGCAAATGTCCCCGCTCAAGGTTGTTGTCGGAAGGTGTCTGTCTGTCTGTCTGGTTCGGGATTTGCATAGGTGCGAGCAGTGAAAACAGCAGCTCGGAGGGAGGGGTGGGGGCAGGCAGCAGACGGGACATTGCCCCCAGCTCCTTTATTTTCAAGCCATTCAATTCGCGGTGAGTGCGGGCAGGTTTGGGACTGGGCTGAGCTGGAGATGCTCTCGCCAGGCCAAAGAGATCGCGGTGCAGCTCGGGTTGGAATCCATCGCCTAAAGCGGCACCGTTCTCCTCCCCCCCTCCTTACCCTCCCAAATCGCCCCCCCTCTCCCCCCCACCCCATGAATTTCGTGGGGTTATTGTCTTATTCGAGGGCACCAGGCTCTTCTTAACACCTTGTGCTCGCTTCCAAGCTCGCTGGTGTGCAACCGGAGCAGCCAGACAATAGGATTTGCAGACACAACTTGGAGCTTGCAACTATAGTTATCTATGCTAATTACAGGGTGTCTGACAGAAACATAATAAATGTAAAGGGAGAAGTATAGAAATATGTTTCTCCAGGCGGTATACAGTTCGCCTCTCTGGGTTCAGGCTTGTTTTCTCGCTCTTCTTTTCATTTTCTTCGCTGGGAATTTTTTTTTCCCCTTCCCTTGACCCGCATTGCATATCACACCCAAAAACCGAGCTAACCTGGAATGCCTCAGCGTGAGGCTTCGCTGCTGCTCGGGAACATTTGTAGAAATGGCTTCGTCTGGGGGAGACCTGAAATTTGGGGGGGAAAAATAAAGGGCACCATGGCACACTTAAAGAAATCGTTCAGAGCTTTAATTGCACCTCGGAATTTATTGTCTATTACCCGTACCTCCAACACTGGAGAGACAGGAATTCTTAGCAACAGACAGAGGGGGTGGGGGGTGGGGGGGGTGGAAGGGGTGTGTGGGGGGGAAACACTTAAGCAGGTAAAAAACTCCCGCAGTGGGGTTTTAACCCAGAGCTGAATGTCTCCGTCTCCAACATTGGGTCGGATTGAGGTTTTCTCGTCGATGTGAGGCGATGGGATCGAGGGTTCCTCCGCTCTGTTGTTGGCCCGAAGAGCTTTTCCTCTGTGAGATCTCGTAAGGAGAGCTGAATAAATATGATTTTCAAATAGCCGAAGAATTTAGCGGTGTGTGGGGGGGGAGAGGTTTGGATGGGGGGGGCGGGGGAGGGTGGGAGAGGCAAAGCCCGGAGCCTGCAGTTGCACTGCTGCAGGAAGAACGGCTGGTATCTGGCCTGAAATTAATCTTTCCCCATATTTATTTACTTTAAGAGACAATCCTGGAATAAATAGAGGCATCTGGAGGACCAAGAAATATTTTTGCTGCCTCTTCAGAGCGTCTGCTTTGGATTCACGCTGTCTATTGTGTGCAATCCTCCCCCCCCCCCGCACCCCCCCTTTCTTCCTCCCATTTTTTTTTTTTTTTTTTAATAGCAGAAAAGGAACAAAAGAAAGAGAGAAAGAACTTGGGCAGGCAGAAGAGGAGAGGAAGGGAGTGGGGAAAGGACAAAGCGGGGGGAAGAAGGGAACTCCGGAGCTGCTGAGATGCAGAGGGAAGTTGGTTGCAGCTGACTTCGCTTTCTCGTACGGAGCGGTCGGAGCTCAGCACCGCCCTTCCCCGCTCCGCACGGCCGGAGGTGTT